AGTATAGGTACAGTGGTTATTGTGAAATAAATCATTTTCTCGTTGACGGCTGATGACAGCGGTGTCCGCCATGACACCTTTACAATCTAGTGAACAATGAGTGCATATCTTCATCTTTGTTCTTAATTATGATGAAGTAATTAATGTTATTATATTGTTGTTTTTCGATGTGATGAATAAAATAAGCTTTTGATTGAGTCCTCAGTTAACTAAATTCATCCATTTTTGACGCCGTCATTTGTAGAGAAAAATTTGCTAGGAGCTTTCTAGGGGGAAATCTGTCTTCAGCCCAGCCTTAACACAGCTGTACGTAATTGTGGAACGTGGTAAAATTTTTCAGTTATCCGCACTTGAATAATTTAATACCTCTTTTATTAAATAAAATCGTATAGTTCATAAACATTAGTCAATATCTTTATGCATCTGTTACTTTTGCTGCGACAAGTTAGTATGCATTTATATGTTTTTGTCATGTTTTCGTTAACATAACCTACGATTTACCTACACCTGTGTTGTAACTTTGATTTCAAATAATAAATTTTTTTCAAATAATAAAAGCATGCCACAAATAATGAAAAAAAAAATATATATATACGAAGACTAAAAATATTATTAAAAAAAAACGCAAGGCAACTGCTATAAAAACTACAAACAAAAAATTGTATTCTGAGACTGTCCGTAAAGAAGCTCTAATTGTTATAAAAAAATGTGATTTTTACAGAAAAGTTTCAAAGACATTTAAGATTCCAATATCAACATTCCACAGAAAAAGCAAGAGTGATGATTTCATGGTAAAAAAAAGTGGACCAGCGCCTATTTTATCAAAGGAAGTGGAACAGCTTATTGTAGATTGGGTCCTTTATAGAGCAGAAAGAGGCCATCCTGTGGGTAAAATTAATATTTTAGATGGTGTGCAGAAATATGTAATACATTCAGGTATTAGTACTCCTTTATTTCGGCTACTCGAACAGCTCGAAATTTAAGGTTTGACAGAGCTAACGTCACTGCAGATAACTTGAGAGAGTGGTTTGAATCGATCAAAAACCATTTAATTAAAAATAACTTGCTAAACATCTATCCAAAAAATTCTATTAAAAACGGATTTGAAGCGACTGATCTTATGCCTTTTAATCCAGAAGCTGTAGATTATAATGTCTTAAATAAAAATAAGAAGAAGAAAATTGTCAATGTTATTACTGGAGCTGAAACGTCAACGGAGAATACCGTGGAAAGTTTTGTTACTATCTTTGAAAAGGAATTATCGCCTGGATTGTTAGAAGAGTTTCGGAAATGTGCAGAATCTGGATCATGGACAAGAGATAGTATACAAACGGGTTTGTTTGAATACTGGTTGAAGATCACAGCTAAAGCATCGGGTACCTGATTTATCTTTTCATTTTATTTTCAATAGTAAATTACAATGCTTTATAATTTAGTTTATATATTATTGCTTATACATTTCATAATTCTTATTAATTATGTACAAATTAATTTACATATATATCATTTTTAGTTTATTTTTATACAATTTTTATATTAGTTTTTATCGGAAAACATGATTATGATATATTTATTTATGATTTTTCTTTTAATTTAAAAAAAATTTCTACGTTTCTGATTATTTCTATTTAGGATGTGAAGATCAGAAGCTTATTGAAATACAGAATGATGTAACTATAATAACTAATTCTCATAATTCACTTTCTCAAAATAATTCCACAGAATGCTCAAACAAGTCCGATAGATTGTTAAATAACTATCAATGTAGAGAAAATAAACTCTTTGCTCTGAACAATAAAAAAGTATCAGATAGCTGTGTTAATACGAATTTCAAAATGGATCATTCATTCGTTATTGAACCGAGGTCATCAGTATCATATATTTGCTTCAGCTCTGAAGATTCATCTATTTATAATGTTGAGAATGAACAAGTATCAGCAGTCATTGAGATACCTGAAATTTCTAATACTGAAGATTCAAGTTCAGCTGAGAATGTAGCAATATTACAAATATTAGATAATGCAGAAATAATTAACAGTGATATTTTAAATAATTTGATAGAAATACTATCTCCAGCTTTAAATACAGCGCTATGCAATGTCAATAGTAATAGTGAGGATCCACAATCACTAGTTGCAGCTGACATTAATAATTATGTCACTGAAGAAAATGGTGCAATTCGACCAATAGATAACGAAGAAAATAATTCTGTCTGCAATATATCACAATGCAATGCTCCAAACGATGATAATGAACTCGAAGGAATAGTGATAAATAATAATAATAGTACATGCCATGATAAAAATTGTCTAGCCGACACCAACGTCGATATTTCAAATTTGAATGTTAAAAAAAAAAACCTTCGAAAAGATTTTCACTCTTCCAACTAGATATTTTCCAAAAAAAAAGAAAAAGAAATTGACCAAAAATGGGAAAGAAAAAGTAAACGTGCCCAAAAAAAGAAAAATTGATAAAATCAAAGCTGAAACTACTAAAGAAAAATAATATAGATCTACGTAGATCTAAGTACATCTCGATCTGAACAAATATAAACTATTCAAAATTGTTTAAATTTGTTAAAAACTATTAGTATAATGTCGTGCTTTCTATTATTGATGATAATAATAATAATAACAACAATTAGAGAATTTATTTATTTAGATATATCACTCTATATGTATTGTTATTAAATATAAAAGTTTGAAACATTACTATTGAATTTACTTATTTATTATTTTTAAATCTAAACAAAATTATTAATTGCCATACAATATAAAAAGAGCGCTGTTCCATAATACGGACATAACGATTTGGAACACAGGAGCAGGATAAAAAAACGCGTTCCACAGCAGGGACACGAGGTACATTAGAAAATCTGTTTATTTAAAAAATTATAAACTCACAATTAAATTTTAAAGGACACATTTGTATTGCAAATCGTTAGCCTATTAAACGATACATTTTTTTCAAGATTTTTTGGTTTTATTTCAATTTTATACATGAAAATATAAAAGGGTTTTGCAAATTCGTTCCACAACTGGGTCGTTTACCCTACCCTAGTCGACAAACAAGATTTTATTATTATTGATTTAGTAGGTAACCTGAGTCTCTATTTTATCTACGTAACTTCGTTACAATATTTTATCATTATTATGTAGGAATACTTTCTGTTAATAGATGTTGCTTATTTATCAAAATAAAAAATAGAGTCATATATAAATGAGAAAATTTTTTTCAAGTCTCAAAATCTATTATCTAATACAAATATTGAAGAAAAAAAATTATTTCTATTATTTTCAAAATTGTCGTTATTTAATTGAACTTATGGTTCAATAATATTCTATTTAGAGATTTCATTATTCATCCTGATTACATCAATTGCAAATAGGAAAGGTTTTGTCAAAATTCTTCGTCATAGCAAAATTAAAACGTACTCAGTTACATCCCGCGAGTGAAATTTTGATATTCTGTGATCAACTAGAAAAAAACAGTTGCCGACGTAGACTTAATTTTATTATGGATAGGTTTGCAATAATTGGTAAAAATTTTTCTATTGAAAATTAATCAAATAATATAAAAAAAGCATTTAATCAACTTTATAAACAGCAAATTGTTTATGATTCGAAAAGTAATCAATGTGAAAAAAGAACAATTTTATTTGCAGTTAAATATAAATATCGTGATGATAAACAAATAGAAACTATTCAAACTTTTTTTACAAATATTTCAGCGTAAATATAATAATTTTCAGAATAGTAATCATGAATTAAATTACTATGCAATGATTGATCGATGTGATGTTCTAAGAACGGCAGTAAAAGGTGACACACTTGATTTAATACATCTATGTAAAGAATCGGAAAATCCTTCGATTTCTATAAATATTTGCGATCTTATAAATGTATTTTGTTGTATAAAAAATGATGATGAAATTAATACTTTTTTTGTCGTTGATGCTGTGAATACCTTAGACTTTCATTAACTTGGATTTAATTTTATATCACATATAAACATAAATATACACATTTTCTGAATGTAAATAAACTGAAAAATCGATAAATCCTCTATACTGAATAAACTACAAATCACAGATTTGGTAGGATAAAAAATAATAAATTTGGTAATTATTTAGAATTGGGGCTCCAGAAAAAAATCGCTCTAATAAATTTTTATGCATTTGGGGTTATTTCTGAGGGTACAAATAGTGAATTTAAGGCGGGGGAGACATATTTTTTCCATTATTTCAGACATTACATGGTAGAACTTACATGTGATAAATCACTGAATATCTCTAAAATTGTTGATCGTACATTTCAGAACGTAGCAAAAAGAGGCAAGGGGGTGGGGGTGTCAAAAGGACATAAATATTTTTAGAAATTACAAAAGTATTTATGCCCTATTAACACCCCCACCCCCGCACCTTCCATTCTCTTCGTCACTTTATTATTCGAATTCAAGCTATACCTATACCTAAAAATCCTGTTTTTTTCGGTGGAACTTCATGAAACGTGTCTCCCCCATCTTCAATTGTTTAATTCTACCTAAGAAAATTGCCTGGAGCCCCAATTCTAAATAGTTACCAAAAATTTGTCCAAAAAATTCCTATCTCGGAACGTTCTTAAATTGGAGCAATTTGAAATTATTTTAAAAATTTCTTTTTTTTTTCAAATAAATTCTGCCGGAACATTTCAAATTTGTGCCGCTCCGTCTCAGCAGTGGCATTAAAATTTCGAACTCCGGCGGCATGCTTCCGGAACAAATTTTTCTTTCCACGGTGTGTCTAGGACATGTTTATAATGATTTTTTTAAGATTAAGTTTATAAAATTTACTGAGTATCTTGTAATAAAAATGTAAGATATTGAAATAAAATAAAAATATCAGTAGATGAACGTGCTGACTACTGACAGAGTAGTAGTTGTTGAGTAGTATCAGCGCGCGCACAAGTTTCTTAACTAAAACTGAAAGCCACAATCTGGCATTCAGTCTTCGTCGCGGCATCATGTGAGAAGGTATCATTCATATTTGCGACGTGTACTTGTTATAAATAATTTTGGTCGTGATAAAATACAAGAGATGCATTCAAAGCATATATGTTATCTTCTTATTTTTAGTCACAAGTCATAACATAAATCAATACTGGTAATTGAAAGACAAGAGTCAGTGGGTTGTTATTAAAAGAACTATTTTTAAACCAAAACCCAAAATTTTCATTAATAAATTTTCGAAAATATTGAGATCAATGAGACTATAGAGTGTAAAAACAACGATCTTGGTAAAATGTGTAACCAATATCACTTATACTGCTTTATTTAATCACAGAATTGCAGCAAAGTGTAGTAAGTACTTAATTATATAAACGCGGCATCAGAATGTTTTATTTGATACATTCGACAAAAGAGTATATATAGCAATGGGAGAGAAATACTTTACATGTACTTTCATATTTTGTTATTTTTTTTTTTAATATTTTTGACTTTTGCATTAATTGGAATAATTTATAATTTAAAGTTCTTCTTGATGAACTCGAATTAAATACAATTCCCTCTACGTTTCTGTTGTTATTTCTTTCACACATTTCTATATTTTTTAACAAAAATATTAAATTCTTAAACTCAATATAAATAATATCAGTAAGCTTATTAATTTGGAAAATTAATAATTAGTTTACCCCTTAAAGTTAGTGAGAGTTTATTGGAAAATTATTGATAGATTAAAAATTTTTTCGATTAATTTTAGAAACTGTTAGATTATTTTAAACTCTTGTTCCATGCTACTCGTTGAATAACCAATTTAAAAATTCGATATTACTTTATTAGAATTACCATATAAGTATATACTATAATTATAGCATGAAAATATTTAACGAACATTGATGTGTCAATTTGATCGAAATATAATTCTCTGCGTTTTTTGCATAATAAATTTTCGCATATCATTATGACATTTAATATGAAATTGATTAATTTTTAAATTAACGGATACTCCACTTGATAATTAGTTATAAAGTATTGAAACATTCAGCGTAAAACTTTTGATATCATCACATCAAGTTTGACTGGTGAAGAACATTTTTTTTTTTAATTTTTAAGAGGATTAAGTTATCATAATTCATTATGTAATTGAAATACCTTCGAAAGAAAAATTTATGTATTAGCTATTTTTAAAAGCTAAATCAAGGAGATATCTGACGAAATTTAATTTAGTTGATTCGTTCTATTAAAAAATAGAAAAAACATCTGGGTACGGTTTGGCTTGCATTCTGAGTGTAGAGATTTTCAGTGAATGCGTGTATTTGTTGAAAGACAAAAGACTCTGAATTGAATTTAATAAAAAACTTCAATTAGATTTTTGTTTAAAAACAGCCGACTGAAATTTTAGAAGCTTTAAAGTATGGAGATGTGTCTAAATTTTTAACTTAGCAAAAGAAATTTATCACAATGGAGTCAAATTTTCATAAATTACCACGTTTCAAAGTCCCTAGAGGAACAAAAATAGTTTTTAGAAGGATGTCTATGTGAACACAGCAGATACAAATGTTCAATAAATCTTTGGAAACTGGACACTTGAAGTGGTTACAGTGCTCATTTTTATAATCAAACTATAATTTGATTTTTTGGACGAAATTCAAATAATTTTAGGCGTTTAATTAAAAAAATGTATAATTGACATGATACAAAATTTTTAAACGTGATAAAGGATTGTTAAAAATCAAATATTTATAATCAAAAATTGTTACTTATAATTTTATCTGTATAATAAAACTACCCTAATGGAGCAAGGGTGATCTCCCGACACTGCAAAGCCAGAAAAATTCAAGGGTTCACTAATTAAACGCTTAAAATTTTTTATAATTATGGCTTAAGTGTTTACTATGTTCAACATCATAAACAAACTATAGCTTTTTGATAAACGCTTACAAAACTATTATAGTTTGTTTATACTGTTTACTATTATATACACTCTAATAATGTGTATAATATTTATGACTTTTTAGATTATAGCCTAAATTTGAAATATATTACAGAGAAAATGATTCGACATCGATGAAAATAAAAAAAAATAGGTACGTTACCGATAATTCAAGCGAACTAATTTATTAGGGAGTAAACATTCATTCATTGTCATTTTCACCAAAAGTAAAGTAATTGTTTAAAGAATCGAAAAATTTATGTTTTTCTATAAAACTTGTATGGTTGAAAAATTTATTTTTGGTAAGTTTAGACGATTAGCGATTTTTCTAGCCTAAACATAAATAGGATCTCTTTGTTCGTTATTAATATTCGTATTATCATTTTAATATAATTAACAATATTTATATTTTACATTAATATTTTAATAATACGTATTAATAATATATATTAATGAATTCGTATCAAATGGAAATATATTTCTATTTTATAAAAAATCATAACTTAGAAATACACAAATTCATGTTTCTGTAAATAATCTAAACTAACAAGAAATTAAATTTTTGATTATATATAATAATATTTTTCTCCACTAAATTATTTTCAATCTTGTACTTTACAATAAATATGAGAATAATATATTATTCTCATATTTTTTAGTTACGATTTTTTTGTTTTTGTCAGAATTACAGACAGACACTTTGCCGATAGTATTATTCATACCTCGTTACACCGAATTAATATTTGCCAGTGTTGCCAGATTTTTTTTTGACATTAAAAATCGTAGTTAGATATACATATATCTTCAAGTGTTTAGTTTCTAAATAATTAGATTTGCAGTGTAAAAGTGACTCTTTCCCATTTGGTAAACGAAGATTGATTGAAATATTAAGTGAGGATAAAGCATAAAGGGAGAAGGAGAAAGGATAATGTTTAAGGTTAGACTTCCGATACTTCATCTTAGAAGTCAGTAAACTTTTGTATCAACAGCTTCGCAGGATCCGTTTGGACTCATTAAGTTACCAACAATTAAAAAAATCCGTCTTGCCCCATGAATCATTTCGTCTCAAGTTGCCCTGCTGATCAACTTGCTTATTTGGAGATATAATAAAAATATTCGTATTGCAATGTAATTTTTTTGTTCAAATGTATTGTGCTGGAATATTACGAATCAAACGTAACGATCCAGAGGTTGTAATATAACATCAAGAATAGAAGACTATTCAGTAAGCTTCTGCATGTGAAAGCTTGGACTCGTCTTCCTCATACATGAAAAATGCATTCAACAATAAGAGGCAAGCTGATGGAGTGAGAAATAAGAAGAAAATTGTCAACCAAGAGAGCGAAACTTTACCAAGCATTAAGTATATCTGTATATTCGCGGTTTTTCTTTAATGTGAAAATTGTGGAGGGTGTGTAAGCAGGAATGTCTCCATGTATAAAACTGGTTTACTATTTATTTATTATTGAAACTCTTCCGGAGGTTTTTACATGTAAGGTGGAGTGCTATTTTTAAGCCTATAGATCAAGAGATACGGTAGTGTCTCGTGCGCCGAGCATAAATCGCCGCCATTTAGCCCTTACGTCACGACGAGGCACTGCCGTGTCTCTATACAAATTATAAGATGATTTTTGCAGGTTAGAATTTTTAAATTAAGAATTTTTTTCTTATAACATAAACATGGGCTGAAATTAAGAATTTGCTCGAAAAGCGATCGTTGACTTTCGATTAAGCATACTATGAAGTATTATCATTGCTTCATTCATAATATACGAAATTGAAAAAATTTCGTTGCGCAAAAATGGAGTAAAATGAGAGTTTATTGATAGAGCAATCATACGTTTTTTTTTATCAAGTTGGTGATCAGAGTTTTTAATTGCTATGAAGTTCTCTCACTAACAGATTAAAAAGTTGGTAACAAGTTAATTTTGCTCGAGCGCGAATATACAAATAATTAAAATATTTTCTGAACAGATTCATTTTTTTTTAATATTCCTTTTCAGTTGATATGTACAAAAAACGGTGAAATCTCCTCAAAAACAGCCCCCTCCTTCTTGGCTGTACAAAAATGTGGCTTACCAAAAACTTGAAAATATTGAAAATATTCAAGCCAATTAATAAATAACAGTCACGCCAAGTTTTTGGTTGTTATGTTTATTGTGTCATTAAACGTACTAAATTTTTTTTCAAAAAAAAAACGGAAGAAAATAATTCATTTTAAATATTGTTGATTTGTAGATTTAAATGATTGACGTTTAATGATTTTAGGACTTTTTGTAATTTCATCATTGTCCTTATTTATGTTTGGCGCACATTTTTGTACAGCCCAGAAGGAGGGGGCTGTTTTTGACGAGTATGTACTTTACTTAAAAAATATTCATTTCAGACACATACTCATTTGTTTTTTTCTTTTTCATTCCACCATCTTCATATTACTGAAATGAGAAATCCTTCTAATAGTTAATGACTCTGCATCTCATGTTTATATTCTACCTCTAACTGCAACCACATTTGTCGTCACTGCAATCTAAATGTTTAGATTTAAATTATGATGTTGTGCTAGAAAGATAACGGTTATCAAAACCACAGATATTTTTTAAATTTCTCTACCAACATTTTGTCAAATATTTTATTAATCACAATTGTGCACAATTATTTATGTTTACTTCAGTAAACGTTCAGTTTCATCTCATCTTCATTTTTCATGGTTTTCTCATTAACGTGGAAAAACATCTACTATAAAAGGAAGTTTTGTGTATTGACGAAGTTTCTGCAAAACTTGAAAAGCCTTTTTAGGAACAGAAGAAATTTGAGAATTAAGTTTTCTCAGAGTAATTGATTCTATTTGATTTTTAGATTATTTTAAGAAAGTTTGAAGAAAGTTCGATTTGAGAAAACCTATAAATAAAATTAAACTCTAAATTTGTTAAAATCAATACCAAAAAATTAGAAACCTTCTATAATCGCAAATATAGAATCAATTTATTCTGAAAAATAATATTTTATTGGTTGAAGCCCATTGATTTTATTTATTCGTTCAAAAGGTATTCAATAGTATCAGTTGACAGATAACTTACGATTTACCACCTATGCCTCATTTTTTTAAAAATTGACTATACTATGAATAAAAAAACAATATTCAGAATTGTCTGATAAATTATTAGACAATTCAACACTGTTATTATGTTTAAATTATTTACCGATTAATTGAATTCAATTTAAGCCGTTTAGCACAGGATAGAATAAAGAGAACGCTAGTATGAATAAAATACGTAGTCTCGAAGGTCTCCCCAGATAGCGAACTTCGTTACTCTCTTGAACGAATTAGTCATTGGATTGGCGTTGATTTGGCAAATTTTGGATTCTATATCCATACGTTGAGATAAGGTCAATGTCGCAGTTTCATTTTCTAGAGGCGTGATCAGTC